CGACCGCTTCGGGTAATCTGTTCTGAGTGAAGACATTAAACGTGAATCGCTACGCGCATTGAAGACTTTTTCCGGAAATTTACTTTAACAACTGTCGCGAGGATTGGAAAAATCGTTGGCATAAACATATTGAGGCCAAGGACGGCATAGATTTTGAAAAATAAATTAACAATTATGAAAAAGTCTTACTGTTTTTTGATTATAGTAGGTTGTCCAATAGTTTATGTTTGGTAACTATTTGTTTACGACGCGGAAGGTTTGTCTGGCAATGAACAAATAATTAACAACGATTTTGTTTGAAACTTTGTATTCCTTCTGGAAYCACGGCTACTTAATCAACGAAATATATTGCAGAATCATTTTAGGAAATCTCCTTTTATACCAGCACAAATAGTTGAGTAGCACAAAGCATACWGTGAAAGTCGAACCTCTGTTAATGAGATACTAGAAGATCTCAACATCTCTCATGAATCGCTTCAACACATTTTKGATAAYGTTTTGAGTATGAAGTGTATCAATGTTAGACATGTACCAAAACATTTGAATAATGTACAAAAGTGACGTTGTGTATAGATCGCAAAGTAGATACTGTGCATGTTACTCAACTTAACATATTATATTAAGTGTCGATATATTTTAACCCGAAAACTAACTATTGTTTAAACTTTACGACCTGGTGGTTAAGAAATTGAAATTGCTTGTAGCATTAGTTAATTCAGTTTGGCAAATATATTTTAAGAAGCAGTTGAGGAAGCTACCTTACGTGGTTTAAAGTAATTGACTGTTCCAGAGAGAGAGTTTTGGGTACCTTATTTGAGATCATATACTTTGCTTTATCTCCAGCAACCATCCTTTTTTGTTACTGTAATAGCTATAKTAAAATACCATTTTTTTCATTAAATGTTATAATAAATATGAAATAATAATGTTTCTTCAGAAAACATAGAGAAATTTTAATTCAAAATTAATTCTTCATTAAAAGGATAACTTAAGCTTAACTGTTGAATAAGAAGTGACATTTTCTTCATTTTTTCAACATTTTTTTTTTTTGATAGATTTAGCGGTTTATTACCTTGAACCTTATGCCTTTAATATTAGGAAACGCTTTTGGAGCGAGTTTTTGGYAGTTCCATGAAACTCATCTCATTACCGATAACAATATTTAAAACAATTTTTTACGGAACAGATCTTACAGCTTCGAAGCAAGCCTTGTTCGTTCCCTATATGGTTTGGTTATGTATATMTTCGAGCATCTTACCTAGAAAAAGAAAGAAAAGCAAAATTAAATTTTAAAAGTTGATATTTTTGAAGAAAATAAAGTTTATATTATATTATGATTTTATGTAAACAAATATTTTATAAATGAAAAAGAAATAAATATATACTTATGAACAATATGATAAGCTGAATTGCACTAATATTTCCACGTTTTCAAACTGCGATTTAAATAAATTCCACAACCTTTAAAAGGAGTAAGCATTTTKTTTTAAATGTCAGTCGTCTATTGAGTGACATATGTACGTATATGGACAAATGCGCATGCGCTTAACGCCACGAAGTAACACCTCTTTGGTAGGAAATTCAGTGAATGGATTTATACGCAATATGTATAAAGCATATATTTTTCACAGATAAATATTGTAAATGGATCGATAAAATATCTAAATATAAGAAGCAATTGTGACTGCTACTGACTACTTTACGTGAGGTCAGGTGACAGAGATTTTCATAGTTTTATACTGTTTAAGCTTAAATCATTTCAACATTTTGGTTTCTTGAAGTTAACTGCATTGTAAGTAGCGAAAWTTTTTTGAAGATATGAAAACATTAACAACTTACATAGGGAAGCGTTCAAAAGAGAACTTAGTGTGATGTGAAAGCTTCGAAACTGACATAAGAAYATTCCTGCATAGGGTCTCAWTWTACCCTGAACAGAGTATACATAGTAAGACTAACACGAAGTTTGTAACAATCAGAAGGAAACTTCAGAAACCCTATAAAACAAATATAGAAACGAATTGCATGGCAAGTTGAGTCGTTTTAGCCATGTCCGAAATACGTCTGTCTGTATTTTCACGAACCAGTCCCTCAGTTATTTGAGATCTAAATTTTTACATACATACATTTCTCCTTAAGAAGCTGATATCGGATTACTATAGCATATAGACGTCAAACAAATCAAACCATCAGAACCAAGGGATTGTATGAAGAACGCTCATTTGACGAGATATCTTCAAGAAAGTTGACATATGGACCGATGTATGAAACGATTTGGTGGATTTTACGTCGAGACCTTAAATTAGTAATGTAAATTGTAAGAACTGAAGCCGTTTCCCATGCGACATCTCTGCGATCTATTGGCTCTTGCAAAGTTCCAAGGAGATACATCGTTTTCGAGCCAAATTAGTGCAGCGATGAAGCCCATTTCTGGCTTAGTGTGTATGTAAACAAGAAAAGTTACTGCTTTTGGGACGAAAAGCATCTGAAGAGATTCAAGAGTTGTCTTTTCATCCAGAAAAAACTAAGGTTTGGTGTGGCTTGAGGGATGGTGGAATCATCATTTCATATTTCTTCAAAAATGATGCTGGTGAGAACGTAACCGTCAATGGCGACCGTTATYGCGCCATGATAACCGACTATTTGATTCCTGAAATTGAAGTTCGTGATTTCGGCGACATTTGGTTTCAACAAGACAGTGCCACTTTCCACACAATGCTTCAATCAATAGATTTATTGAGAGAACACTTCTGTGAACAGACAATTTCACGTTGAGGACCCGTCGATTAGCCGCCAACATCATGTGATATCACACCGTTAGACATTTTGCTGTGGGTATAATTAAAGTCTAGAGTCTATGCGTACAATCCTGCGTTGATTCAGGTTTTGGAGCAGAACATCACGCGTGTCATTCACCAATTACCGCCCAATAGGCTAGAAGGAGTCATCGAAAATTGGACTCAACGGATGGACCATCATCACGTAGCTGCAGTCAACATTTGAAAGTGATAATCTTGAAAAAATAAATTCCAAACAATGTTCTTTCGAATGATAATAAACATTCTCCATCACATTTRAAGYTTCTGTGCTTAAAAAAATAGGGAACCTCGAAAKGGWTCACCYTTTWTAKATAMGTAACAACTTCATAGATAAGCAAACCCTGGCATAGAACTTGAATCAACCAAAGGTATCTGCATTGATAGTAAGAAAGGTTTATATAGTTCAGTWAGTTCAAAGATTTAAGTCCAAATAATGGCACTTAATCTGAAAGCTCCTAAATATCAAGATTCATATACATCGAATTGGCAAGTTGCTGAACTGTTGCTAGTATACTAYATTAAGTAAATTACTTAATTCCATATTCATTTCTTTGTCTTGCCTACTTTTATTTCCATTTCACTTAACCTCACCTCACTTCCGCCGATTTGATGATCGCCTTGGGTGGTGCATCCCAATAATTCGGTGCGGGTGGCACCCACTGCCGCAGCACCTGATAGTTGCCCTCCAGCAATTCCATACCCTCGATAACTTCYTCATCTGACTCATCGCCATTGTTGTTGTTATGGCTATTGTTCGCCGSGTTGCCAGTGGCTATATTCAAATTGTCATCCTGCTCATCCATAGCGTTTCGTTGATTTTATGCGCGCTGGAGATTATTGCAAATGCACTGGATGATAGAAAATGTACGACAATAACAAAAACATTTGRAATTTTGACATTTGTTTGACAGCAAGCTGGCGCGTACAAAGCGAGTTGAATGAATGACGCAGAGCGGCACAGACACACAGACACATATATATGTTCACTAATAACAACAACAAAAGCACAAGACTTGAGTAAGGAAGTAAGAAGAAGAAGAAGAAGAAGACTCTCACTCACTGACACAAAAGCGCTGGTAAACAAAGAAGCTGTGCTCTGGGCTATTAGCAACAATAACAGAAACTGCGAAGCTGCTTGTGGCACGTTTCACATGATKATTTTCACCGATTTTTGCGCAAAGSCGATTGAGATTTGCTTTTTTCTGCACAGTAGCACTATCTTCACTTTCACTTTTGATTARAAATTATTATTAAATTTCCCATTTTCTTCTTTCTAATTTCGCCAAAATGTACACAAACAACACATTCACTCGATAAACGCGAACGTAAATGACGCACGCACGCAGAACGCAGCACAGTACCGGCGTGTATCCTGTGAGTCCTGCTGCACACTCGCTCGCTCGCGCGCGTTTRCAATTGAATTGTATCTAATCAGAGAAAATTTTCATGGCGTTTGTTTTGCCTGCTCAGCAAGAAAAGCGAACGCAGGAAAGCAAGAGCAAAAGCAAAGCACGACTCACGGCTGATGGACTGCAGTGCCACACACACACACACGAATTTACCCATACAAATACATTGGCAGGCGACCGACTGCGAGAGTGTCTCTTATACACATCTAGATGTGTATAAGAGACAGCTGCAGTTCCACACACACACACACGAATTTACCCATACAAATACATTGGCAGGCGACCGACTGCGAGAGGGTAAATTGCTGGTCGCGTTCGGCACGTAAAGGACACGGCAAATGCAAGTCCATATGTATGTGCGAGTGTGTGTGTTAACGTGCTGACGAAGTGGCATGCCACACTGCCGCCARCCCCACCCAGCGGCGAGCGGCCAGCCAAGCGGCACGACGCGCGTTCATTGTCCGTGGTTAGTCCTGGCGCCGAGTGTTGGCGTGCTGTTCCTTTGTTTGTCTCATCTATTGCAATTGTATACACATATAAATATWTATATATACATACAAATRCATATACAAATGCATGTATAWAAGTACATGCCAYTTTATGTGTGTTGGTTTTTTAATGTGTAAAATAAGGGTTCGAAATTTAATGTTTTTCCGTCTGATTTTTTGGGGGTTCATTCACTGTTGCCTTTGCGTACCGCTCTGTGTTTGTTGTTATTCTTGTAGTACAACATTCGCATATTGTAGAAATTATGTTGCTTTTTTTTTTT